GGCAGAGACAGGAAGGTCTCTGCAAATTTGAGGCCAGCCTGGTCTACATAGTGAACTTAAGGCCAGCCATGGTGGCACAGTGAGAAAAACAAAAAGAAAAACAAAATTATTTCTTCAGTGGCACATGAAGTGGAAAATGGCCACAGAGTTTACCATTATAGTCTTCACAGCACAGTACACTGGTTGGTCTCCAGTGACAGAGAGGAAGTGCCACTCCTCACACCAAACTTTTGTTGTTGCTGTTCTGAATGTTTGCTTTTCTTTATTTTTTAGACAGGGTTTCTCTATTGTATCCCAAATTGACCTCAAAGGCAAGATCCTCCTGCCTCACCCTGCTGAGTGCAGCCATCACACCCAGCTCTAAGTACTTTTTTTATGCTATTAAATATTGGCACTGGTTAGTTTTTGTCTGAATGGGAGGGAACCATAGTTGAAGAATTACCTCCATCAGATTGTTCTGTGGGGACATTTTCATGATTAATGACAGTCAAGGCCACTGGAGGTAGAGCCCACACTGGGATATTTAAGAAGCTGAGAAAGCCAGTCAGTAGCCCTCCTCCAGAGTTCCTGTTTCAATTCCTGCCTCCAGGGTTTTTCCTTGAGTCTTTCCCCAACTTCCCTCAGTAATAAACTGTTACCTGGACTCTTAAGAGGAAATAAACTCTTTCCTCTAAAAGTTGTTTTGGATTGTGTGTTTATCCCACCAACATAACCCTAACTAGGACAAACACTGCAGGACATGGTATATCATGCCTGCAATCCACTCAAGAAACAAAGGCAAGAGAATCAGGAATTAAGACTATCTTTTGAGGCAAGCCTAGGTTGAAAAGTTATTAAATATATGTGATATAAGGATACAGCCCCAGAAATGTTTGCTTGCTTGCTTCCTTCTTGTGTGATGCTGGGAATAACACCCAGGGCCTCATATATGCTGTAAGCAGTAGTGTGGCACAGAGCTACACCCCCAGTTGTAGCTAACAATACTTAAGAATTTTAAATCAAGTTTTCAGGGTTTATTTTATTTTATTTTGGTTTTTCAAGACAGGGTTTTTCTGTGTAGCTTTGGAGCCTATCCTGGCACTCGCTCTGGAGACCAGGCTGGCCTTGAACTCACAGAGATTCGCCCGCCTCTGCCTCCTGAGTGCTGGGATTAAAGGTGTACACCACCAATGCCCAGCTTCAGGGTTTATTTTTAATTGTTGTTTTGAGACAGGGTTTCTCTGTGTAATTCTGGATGTCCTGGAACTTGCTTTGTAGACCAGGGTGATCTCAAACTTGGAAATCCACCTGCCTCTGCCTCCCAAGTGCAAGGATCAAAGATGTGTGCCACCACATTCAGCTGTAGTCATGAGTTTTATTTATGTATATGCCATACTGTTGCAAAAAGATCTTGTGGCACCTCAATAAAATATTTAATACAGTAGAAAGAAACTGAATCAGGGTAAAGGTACATATAAAAGGCTAGAATGAAGTTGGTTAAACTCTGTAAACGTTTTTTTAAATGATCTCAAACTTTCTTTGGGCTTCCTGTTGGCTGAAACCAAGAAAAAGCATGAATAGTTAGTTGCGGATTTTGGTTTAAAGAAACCTAGTTGTCTGTACATGCTAGACACCTGACCCTGAGCACATTGTTCAATTTCTCTGAACTTGAAGTTCATAACCTATAATGAGAGAAATCTTGGGCATTCTAGGATGGATTGGTGAGACTACAAGACAAGATGACTTCCAATTCTGGAAGGTGCTGGGGGTTTCCTGAAGTCCTGTGTCCTCACCAAGCCTTGGTCCCAGCTGTCTCAGAGTACCTAATACCCCTTTCCAGCCTGAGGGAAGGGCAGCATGGGAGAGACATTCCCTGCACCTAGGACTCTCTGGCAGCTCCCCAGTGTCCTGCCCTATACTACAACGCTTCTTTGATACAGCAGGAAGAATAAAATTATCTACAGGAGCCCCCAGTTGTGCCTTTTGTGCTGCCCCAAGGTAGAAGACCCCTTCTTTCCCCCTGAAGAGTGGATTAGATTCAAAGACTGAGGGGTTCCAGTGACTCGGTGATCCAATACTTGCCTAGTATTCCCAACACCCATTCAACACCCATTCAAGGCCTGGCAATCTCTGGGGAGGAATCAGTGATGGAAGCCAAAGCTTCTTCACCTATATAGTTACTCAAACATGAGATGGTTTGCCTTCATAAAAAGGCCAGCAGGTAGTTCTATATACTCCAGACCCCACCTCCTATGAAGTACCCTGCCTGGTATAATACACCAAGGGATGTGTGAGTGCACACGTGGTTGTGTGTATGTGGTAGTGGGAGCCAGATTTCCTTTAGAGCTCACAAACTGGCGGATTCAGGCTTCTTTGCAAAACTCCTTCCCTGCTTTTCATCACTAACAGGACGAAATCCATGTCAGAATTTCCTTGGCTTGGGCTATAAAGAAGGCTCAGATGTTAAGAGCATTGGCTGTTCTTTCAGAGGTCCTGAATTCAATTCCCAGAGACCACACGGTGGCTCACAACCATCTATAATGAGATCTGGTGCCCTCTTCTGACCTGCAGACATAATCCCATATACATAATAAATTAGTCTAAAAGAAAGAATTTTCTTGGCTCTGTTAGTTTATACCATTTTGTTCTAGACTTGACTAGATGGGTCCACTCTTTGGCTTGGTATTCAAAGCTGGCCTTTTGGGGGCTTTTCCCATGGCATTCAAAGTTGGCCTTTGGGGCTTTTCCCATGGCTATCTTAAATGACTGCCAACTCTCAGCACTTCTGGAGCTTGTTGCCAAAATGGCATGAAGATGGCAAAAAACATGATCTGATCAGCCTTGAACCCCTCGTTCTGCCACAGGCTATACTGCTCTGTGATCTTAGGTAAATGCCTCCATGTCATCGTCTTTATCTGTCCATGGGCCCTGTCATAGTCTATTTTTCACGGTATGTCCAGCACACTGATGGTTCTCAGGTAACAGTGACAGGTGACCTGATTTGGAAACCTGGCTCTTCTATTACCAGCCTATGTGACAAGTGACTCACCTGGGATCCAGTGTGACTATTTATAAATGACGAAATGACTGTATTGACCATACAACACAAAAAGGCCTGAAAACAGAAGGAGGGACCTGAAGAATGAATGATTGGGGACTATGGCAGGTCCTGTGTTCCACCCCTGGAAACTATGCCACATGTTTACTCTTCAAACCAATGTGTCCTTGTGTTCCCTTTCCTCAGACTGCTGCTGTTGCCTGAGCACCTCTCACATGGTTGGGCTATGACATCACAAAACACACACACCCAGGACCAAGGGAAAGGTTAGGGTGTGCACAGGCACTGGGAGGGGGTGTCCTCTAACAAGGCCAGAAGGGGAGCCTGTGGTGGTCAGCTGGGTGGGGGAGCTGGATGTGGCTACCACTATAAGTCAGACCTGGCTGGGCTGGGTGTCACTGTCCCTCTTTATTTCAGGGGTGAGTTACTCCTTAAGCAGAACATCATCCAACAATGTCTGGAAGAAATGAAGTCTGCACAGAGCCTGAATCTCCCTACTCAGTGAGATTTTGAAATGGGTTTCCACAGCACATGTTCTAGGAGCAGGCAAAGGGCACAAAGAAGGGTCCTGTGCTAGGGTCTGTTGTATTTGTAGGCAGAGCTGTCTCCCAGGTAGGAGGGTATAAGGCTTTTCCAAAGGAGATTAGGTATGCCCTGCCCTGTGTGACTCCACCCCATACCCTAGAACTGCTAGGATCTGTATTTTCTTTGGTAAAGAAATCTTTGGAGATGGGCAAAAGAACTTCTCTGAAGCTTTAAAAAGAATGTCCAAAGCAGCCATATGCTGGCTTGAAAGGTTTTCAGGGCTATCCGTGTCTAGAGGCACTGTGAGCAACAAGCAGTACCAGGGTAGCTGCCAATACTATTGTATGGTAGCTGATACATGTTCATTTTTACATCCACAATCCCAAGTCCTATCTCAAAGAAAATCCAGAAGCTGAGATCCTAGTCTCCCCTTTCCTGATCCTACCTCCTGGCTTTGCCCGGCAACCACAGAAGGCCCAAGGTCTCTTCTGAACCCCTCTGTGCTGTCTCCCCTGGATTCCCAGGCTGCTGGACCAGCCCACCAAATGACCAGATCAGGATTGACAAGAAGGAGGGATCCTATTCCATCTTGGGGCCACCCTCTCCAGGGACAAAGGCCTTACTCCTAGCAATCCCTGAGTATGAGTACTAGCTTTGAAGGCTCACAAAGGATGTGAGGCCCAAGGCTTTGAGAAAGGATAGGGAAGGAGCCAAGGCCTAGTGGGTGGCCAAGGCCAAGGCTTCTGGTACAGAAGTTGAGATGGGGGAGCTCCAGCCAGCACCCTGTGCTGCAGAGCTGAGCTGCTGTTGAGGAATGTACAAGGAACAGGACGACAAGAAGTAGCCAATGGACCCAGCCAGTGCTTACTTTAGGGTGTGGTTCCTGCCCAGTGTTTGTGATGGTGAACTTCTGGAATGTGGTCAGTCAGAGCAGGGGAGCACAGGGGATGACCACAGGTCAAGAGCTTGAAGCTCAAGGTTACCAGAAGAGGGGCCTGGAGCTGCAGAGCATCAGTGCATAGGCACCAAAGACCTCAGGCTCTGCAGAGCCTTGGAAAGGGCACTGGAGATGGGAAGAGTTAGGTGAGGTCATCTTATCTGTAAGATGTGGCTATCGTAATAACACAGCCTGCCTTACTACAACTGGGGTGCTGCCCCTTTCGGCTTTAGTCACCTCCTCTGCTCAATGGGCTTAAGGATCTCTACCTCCAAGGGAAGCAGGGGAAAGAGTCGAAAGGGTAAATGCAGGAAAAGCCCTCAGTACAGCATTCTGCAGTGGAAGTGTCATTGCTGGGTGCTGAGGAAGTACTGCCTTGGCTGTCATCAAAGCTAATACCTAGCCCAGGACACCCCCAATTGATAGTGATTCCAGTTTTAGGAGTTGGTCTGTACAGCCCCTACTCCTCTGCTGCCCTCCTCTGTGAACATAGGTCCCCATTCAGACCACAAAGTTGAGGGTGTAGGTGAGCTGGTGGCCATTGTCCCAGGCGTAGAGCACCCGCTCCTTGGGATTGTAGTCAACTTGAGTGGTGTAGGAATACTCATTGAGGAAGGACAACTGGGGGTGAGCATCAGTGCCTGTGTGGGTGTCAAAGGCATAGGCCACCTGGCCTTCACGCTGGTTGTAAGTATCCACAGCGTACAGGATGCCACACACCAGGAAGCAGTTCCCATAGGAGTTCCTCCTCAGCCGTGTCTTCCACGTGGTCTCCTGGTGCACAGAAAGGTCTCCAGGGTCCAGGCGGCTTAACACAATCACCTCATGCTGGGTTTCATCTTGCTCGTCCACAGCTGGGTAGATGACCCACAGACCACTCTCATCTACAGCAAAATCAATGTCTGAGTGGCCACGCCACTTCCAGGGTGTGGTGTCCTCATAGACCACATCAGGCAGCAGTGCCCAGGAGGCCACAAAGCGCTGATGCAGGTCATATTTGATGATGTTCTTGGTGAAGGCACGGTTGTAGTAGAAGGCACCCTGGTACACCACATGGCCTGTGCCTATCCAGTTGTAGGGTAGCTTGTACATGTTACTCCATCGACCTGCATATGGAAAGTGGAGAGTCATACCAGAGTATCCTGGGCAGCTCCAGCCCACCTGCGCTGGTTAGTTTCAATCAACCTAGAATTGCCCAGATCAGATCAGCCTGTGGCCAAATCTGTGAAATATCATCTTGCTTGATGATGAATGTGGGAGGGGAGGGCTGGGGTGGTACCATGTCTAGATAAGTGGCCAGGGCTATATAAGAAAGCTAGCCGGCTAGCTGGGTTGGATGTAGAGGTGTACGCCTTTAATCCTAGCACTTGAGAAGCAGAGTCAGGTGGATCTCTGTCAGTTCAAAGCCAGGCTGGTATACATAGTGAGTTCCAGGACAACAAGGGCTACATAGTGAGAACCTGTCTCAAAACAAAACAAAACAAAACAAAACAAAACAAAAAGACAAACAACAAAACACACTGGGCAGTGGTGGTGCACACCTTTAATCCCAGCACTTGGGAGGCAGAGGCAGGTGGATCTCTCTGAGTTTGAGACCAGCCTGGTCTACAGAGCTAGTTCTGGGACAGCCAGAGCTACACAGAGAAACCCTGTCTCGAAAACAAAGCAAGCAAACAAACAAAAATCCCTAAATTCAACAAAACAAACAAAAAGAAAGTTGGCTCAACATGATCCAGAGAGCAAGCCAGTAAGCAGTGTTCCTCTGGGCTTCCTGCCTTGATTTCTTGGCACTGACCTCCCTCAGTGATTGAAGTATAAAGTAAATCCTTTCCTCCTCAAGTCTCTTGGGCTTCATGGTGTTCATCACAGCAACAGAAAGCAAACTAGAAAACCACCCATTCACCAGAGAGACCAACAAAGGTTCACCAGTGCCCAACAAGTTTTTGGCACCAAAACTTGACTATGTGGCTGGACCTGAGCCCACCATCTAGATCATACAATAGTGCCACAAAGGGAGTACTAACATTACCCATGAGTCCTGGCTTCCAGGTCCCCAGTAGTGATGGTGGTAGCTAGGATTGAGGTGCAGGATGATGCTAACCGTGTGCTCTATCTCAGAGACTTTGCATATGATGTTCATTGAGTCAGGTTTGTTTCTCCCCATCCAATCTGCATAGGAAATGCCTACCTGTCTTTCAGTGTCCTTAGCCAAGGTGACCTCCCCAGGTTACAGTAAAGGGTCTACCCTAACACTTTGTCTTGGCACTTGCCACATCTGCCAGCCTATGAGCTGCTCCAGACACAGACCAAGCCAATTTTGAACTTTGAAAGGATGTTAGCTATTCCAGGACATTCTCTATGATCCCATGGTTCTCCTTCATGGGGCTGACAGGGTGTACCCCAGCCTATTCTCACTACCCCACTCCATGACACCATGCTGCTTCTGTCAGGCCTCTACACATGTTGAGCCCTCTGTCTGGAACACCTTTCCTTCTCTTTCATTTTCCTCCTGATCCTACACAGAGCTCAGTTCAGCACTGGAAGCCCCCTGAAGTCTTCCTGTGTCTCCATGGTCTTCCCACAGAGTTCTGAACTAGATTGTCCTAAACTGTACCACGAAGGCTCCTTTAAGTCTTTGCCTCTTCCAGAATATGAGTTTCTGGAAGGTAAGACAGTTTTAATGCCCTCTCCCCTCATCCTGCTCCAGATCTAATAACCAAAAATCCTGACCCTCGTGCTAACAAGTCCCACTGAGTGCCTTGCCCAGAGTTGTAACTCTTCAAAGGCCTGAGGCCTTCTTTCTTGGAAAGCAGGCAATAATCTCATGGATTTAGGAGGATTCAGAAAATGTGAGTGGACACTGAGCTGGATAGGTTTTTTTTTTTTTAACTATATTCAAAACTTTATTTCGTATATTCTTTTTTTTTTTTTTTTTTTTTTTGGTTTTTCGAGACAGAGTTTCTCTGTGTAGCTTTGGAACCGATCCTGGCACACTCTCTGGAGACCAGGCTGGCCTCGAACTCACAGAGATCCACCTGCCTATGCCTCCCAAGTGCTGGGATTAAAGGCGTGCACCACCAACACCCGGCTAAGCTGCATAGTTTTTGTTTGTTTTGTTTGAGACAGCCTTGGCTGTCCCGGAACTCACTATGTAGACCAGACTGGCCTCCAAATCACAGAGATTCAGGCTGGCCTCTGCCTTCTGATGTTGGGATTAAAGGTGTCCTGACTTTCTTTGATGATGAACAGTAATATGGAAGTATGAGCCACATAAACCCTTTCCTCCAACTTGCTTTTGGTCATGGTGTTTCATAGAAGCAATAGAAACCCAAACTAGGCTGGGTGTTGGTGGCGCATGCCTTTAATCCCAGCACTCAGGAGGCACAGGCAGGTGGCTCTCTGTGAGTTTGAGGCCAGCCTGGTCTCCAGAGCGAGTGCCAGGATAGGCTCCAAAGCTACACAGAGAAACCCTGTCTTGAAACCGCCCCCTCCAAAAGAAACCCAAACTAAGACAGACACACATAGCAATTGTACAGAATACTCAGCAAGTGGACGCTCAATAGTAGGTCACACTCATGAGGTCACGAGGCAGGACCTTATCTATCTCCTTTGCCCCTGTATCAAGTTCCCAGCAGTGGATACCAGGATTCTCTGGGTCCTCAGACATCCTTCCTTAGGGCAGCTAGCTACCTGGAGGTAGGACAGCCTGGACATTGGAAATTACAGGCACAGGAAGGGCCAACCACACCCTTTCCCCTTTTCTCTCTCCTACCCAGCTTCTCTGACCTTGTTTGAAATTTTCCAGGTTTCGAAATTCCACCAGGCTGTTTCCATAGTAGTAGTTGGTGACATAGATCCTGTCATCTAGAGCTGTAGGGTCTTTCATCCAAGCCCCTTCATGGCGCCCATAACTGTGGTGCTTCACAGGGGGGTCCACAGCTCCGAGGGTACCCTCACAGCTGTCCTCCCTACCTGTGAGGAGCAAAGGACATGACATTTGACATACAGAGCCACTAGTTCTAACCCAGAGCAGTGGGTCTAGGAAAGTGGAAAGTGATCCAGGTATCTTTTTTTTTTTTTTTTTTTTTTTTTTTTTTTTTTTTGAGCGAGGGTTTCATACTGTATAGCTCTGGATGTCCTGGAACTGGCTCTGTGGACCAGGCTGGCCTTGAACTGAGTGAGATCAGCCTGCCTCAGCCTCCCCAGCCATGTGCTACCATGCCTGGCTTATCCGAGTCCATGTTAACTCTCTCAAAGGTTGGTGACCTTTGGCCTATGAGCAAAGCAATACCTAATCACTGGAAAAAACAGGAACAGTCAGGAGAACAGAGGGGATGTATTCCATTCAAAGTCTAGCATCTACTGTATGGAAAAATAAAACACAAAAAAAGAGGCCCATCTCAGAGAGGCAGAGAATAGAATGGTGGGTAATAGTGGGTTGGGAGATGCTGACCAAAACTTCAGAAGTACAGTTTGACAGAAAAATGACCTCAGGGTATCTCTTAACACTTGAAAATCAAAGCTGGGTGTCGTGAATGCCTGTAACCCTCAGATTGTGAAAGCTGGGGTAGGAAGATAGCCATTGCTGTGAATTTGAGGCCAGCCTAGGCTATATAGTGCCAGGCCAGTCAAGTTACATAGCAAGACCCTGTCTCAAAAAGGAAGGAAAGAAGCAGGGTGGCAGGGCATGCCTTTAATCCCAGCACTTGGGAGACAGAGGCAAGAGGATCTCTGAGTTCAAGGACAGCCTGGTCTACAGAGCTAGTTCCAGGACATCCATGGCTACACAGAGAAAGCCTGTCTCAAAAAACCAAACTAAAACAAAGAAAAACAAAACAAACTCAGAAACCAAAAAACAAACAACAAAAGAAAAAAGAAAAAAAGAAACAAACAAAAAATAGCCCAAGAGTACTAGGGGCGTAGCTCAGAGGTGACAGCTGGACGCCAAGGGCTCAGTCCTAACCCTTGAAACCTGAAGAAAACAGACTGGAAAGAGGATCTAAACAAAGATATCAGTGGCTGAATTTAGTTATAGGGTTCCAGGTTGCATTTTAAAGAGAATTTATTGTAAATATACCTGTTTAATAGTCACTTTAAATGTTGGTAGTTTTTCTGTAAAGGCTCCTGGGATAACTATGTTAGGCTCTGAGGGACAAACTTCTTTCCCATAGTATTTCTTTTTCCATGTAACTCTTTAAAAATGCACAGCAGAGCCACGCAGTGGTGGCAAATGCCTTTAATACCAACACTGCGAATTTGAGATCAGGCTGGTCTACAAATGAGTTCCAGGACAGCCAGGACTGTTACACAGAGAAACCCTGTCTTGAAAAAAAATAAAAATAGATAAATGCCAAACAAACAAATAAATTAAATGTAGAGCTGGAGGGGTGACTCAGCAGCCAAGAGTGCTTGCTGTGCAATCTTGAGGCTTTGGGTTTGGATCTGAGCACAGGTCTAGCAAGTAGGTCTTCCCACACACACCTGAACCCCCAGTTCTGAGGGGCACACACACCCCAGTTCTGAGGTCCACACACACCTGAAAACCCAGTTCTGAGGAGCACAGACCCACACATACCTGCAAACCCAGTTCTGAAGGGCACAGGTCCACACACTCCTGCAACCCCAGTTCTGAGGGGCACAGGTCCACACACACCTGCAACCCCAGTTCTGAGGGGCACAGAGATAGGAAATTTACTGGTATTTTCTGGCTTTTAGCCAAACCAAGAAAACAAAAGCCACAGTTTTAGGGACAGACCTGGCCTCAAAAAAAAAAAAAAAAAAAAAAAAAAAGGTATAGAGAGAATAGATAGAGAGAGAGAGAGCTCTTGTTTAAAAAATTAAAAATCTTGGGGGCTGGAAAGATGGCTCAGAGGTTAAGAGCACTGGCTGCTCTTCAGAGGGCCTGGGTTCAATTCCCAGCAACCACATGTTGGCTCACAACCATCCATTATGAGATCTGGTGCCCTCTTCTGGTGTGCAGATATACATGGAAGCAGAATGTTGTATACATAATAAATAAATAAATCTTTAAAAAAAACTTGCAGGCTACTGTAAAACCCATTGTAAAAAAAAATTAAAAATCTCAAACTAAGCCATGCATAGTGGCACATGTCTATTATTCCAACTCTAAGGAGGCTAAGGCAGGAGGGTATGACCTCCAGGTTAGCCTGAGGTACAGCAAGAACCTGCCTCAAAATAACTAAAACCAAAAACAACAACAAACCAAACAAAAAACCAGAAACAATTTGATAAAGCTGAATATTCTTGAATCAAGAACCAAACAAGAAATGAATTGAGCTTTTCTGACTCTTAGGAGACTTTCTCACCTTGGCTAGGGTTTTCTGGATGCAAATGTGGCTCCTTGGGCCAGAGAGTGGTGATAGGAGTTGGGGTGGAAGTAGAGATGTCAGGTACCAAGCTGGCTCCTTCTGAAGGCTGCGGCATAACTCCATTATGTTTGGCAGAGTTCGGCTCTGGAAGCTTGGTCTCCATCTTGGGTGGTACTTTCCCCAGCCAGGAAGTGCCCTTGAGGGTGTTGTCTGAGGAGAAAAGAGGACTCAGTGCCCATGCCCAAGTAGTGCTGATGCACAGGTCTGCCACAGAACTCCTCAGGGGCTTCTCTGACCATTGTGGAGTTGAAAGGACTCAAGTAGGAGATGGGTAGACTTCCTAGTAAACAGGGTAGGACTTTCTGTTGATCACTCTGTCCTGGGGCCCAGCTCTGCCAGTCCTTTACTGGGAGAGTTTTTAATGAGCAAGCCCTCACTCCTCTTGTTCCCACCTCTGTAAAATGAGTGTTATTACAATAGTGTTGATTAGAGGAAAATGCATTTAAAACATTTGCATTGATTCTGCAAACATGTGGTGGCAAATACGAGGTTCTTTTTTCTCCTAAGTATTAAGTACGCTGTTCCAATTCTGTTATGCCTTAAACTTAGTTCCAAGGACAAAATTCCTTGTTCGGGATTGAAGACTTTCTCTCAGTTACCTTCCTGGGGACCTTCGTAGCTTTAAGCCTCCTTCATCTAGTGTTACCCCAGCCAAGGAAGGGATGGATGCAGCCAGTGTCTTGTCAGTTCTAGACCACAGATCTCTGTCATTGCCTCTGCCCTTGCTCACCTCCCACACTCACCTCTCTAGCTGTGCTTGTACCTTCTGGGTCCCCACTGCTGGCACAGGCTTAGCTGAGTGGGCTCCTCTTTGCCAGCAGTTGGGCAGGCCACTCTGTCCCCATACCTGGGACCTAGAGGAAGTGGCCTTGGAAGCCTGTCAGGACAGGGGGCTTGTTCCCATGAGCCTTTTTGGCAGTCAGATGCCCAAAGCTGTGCCTGGGCAGTGGCCCAGCCAGGGCTCAGAGGCCCTGTGCTGTGCCAGACTAAGCTGGCAGGATTCAAGGACAGCAACTGGCATCTGGGACTGGGGAGGAGGGTACACCCTGAAGGGCTCAGAAATGAAGGGACTTTTTCTTTTGAGGTGTTTCTCTCTTTTATGAATGTGTGTGTGTGTGTGTGTGTGTGTGTGTGTGTGCCCATGTTCATGTGTGGGGTGCATATGTATGCACGTGTGTGGAAACCAGAGTAAAACTTTAGATATCCTCAGAAACACTATCCATCTTCTTTGAGACAACTAGTTAGGCTAGACTGGCTAGCCAGTGAGCCTGAGGGATCTTCTTGACTCTGCCTTCCCAGTGCTGGGATTACAAATGTGTGCTATCAGCCTGGAGAGATGGCTCAGTGGTTAAAAGCAGTAACTGCTCTTCCAGAGGACCTGGTTTCATTTCCCAGCACCCACATGGAGTTCACAACTGTCTGTAACTTCAGTTCTTGGGGTTCTGGAATTCTCACACAGACATGCGTACAAGCAAAATACTAATGCACATAAAATTAATAAATCTCGACAGGCGAGTTCCAGGACAGCCTCCAAAGCTACAGAGAAACCCTGTCTCGAAAAACCAAAAATAAATAAAATCTCTAAAATCAAATAAAAAATTATTTTAAAAAGGGGAGGGGGCTGGAGAGATGGCTCAGCAGTTAAGAGCACTAGTTGCTCTTCAGAAGATCCAGGTTCAATTTCCAGCACTCACATGACAGCTCACAACTGTAACTTCAGTTCCAGGGTATCTTACACCCTCATATAGATATATATGCAGGCAAAGCCCAATATACATTAAATAAATATTTGTTTGCTTGCTTATTTGTTTTTTTGAGACAGAGTTTGAGACAGAACCTGGCTGTCCTGGCTGTCCTGGAACTTACTCTGTAGATCAGGCTAGCCTCAAACTCATAGATTTGCCTGCCTCTGCCTCCTGAGTACTGGGATTAGAGGTGTGCACCACCCAACTCGGGGCAAGAGTTTCCACATAAAATGGAGCTGCAATGGGCTTCCTCACAATCTCATACAGGCCATGGTGCAGAGATACTGTGGCAATTGGGCTTGAATATAGCATGGCTGATTCCCTCCATGGTACACAGAGGCTGACTCTCCAAGCCCCAGAGCATGCTGCATGACAGATTTAGCTTTTATTATACAGACAATAAAAAAGTTTATGGGCAGTGTGCTACAAGCTGCTTGATGGTGGCATAGACAAGAGTCCAGGTGGTGAGCACCGATCCTAGTGCTGGCAGTAAACATACCCCTGCCATGTTGAAAAGCCAGCTGCTAAAACATCCACTTTAATTTTTAGCCATGTTGTTTAGCTGATATGACTCATGCGGTCAGAAAAAGATAGAGATATTAGTAAAGACTGATTCAGATGAAGAAAAACCTCTAAAGGGTTTACAATGTGTTTCAAAATATACTTAGGCTTGGGAGAGAAAAGAAAAAGGATAAAGTGGTTAAAAAAGAAATAGAGAAGAAAGGTGCTTGTGGCACATGCCTTTAATTCCAGCACTCAGGAGGCAGAGGCAACCAGATCTCTGTGATTTCAAGGCCAGCCTGGTCTACAGAGTGAATTCCAGGACAGGCAAAAGTACACAGAAACCCTGTCTCAAAAAAGTGAAAAAACAAAAGTAAAAGAAATAGAGTAGGGGCTGGAGAGATGGCTCAGGGGTTAAGAGCACTGACTGCTCTTCCAGAGGACCTGAGTTCAATTCCCAGCACTCACATGGCAGCTCACACCTGTCTGTAACTCAAGTTTCAGGGGCCCTGACACCCATGGCAAAAACACCAATGTACATAAAATAAAATATATAAAAAGAGAATAAAGGTAAAGCATTAAAAAAATGAAATAGAGTAATAAAAAAGCCCCATAAAGATGGAAAATACAGAGACTCTGGATACTGTATGTTATTGTGTTGTCTTTGAATTGTTCAATTGCTGAAGAAGGAACAACTGCTAAAAGACATTTGATTATAAATGCTGCTGAAGGGGCTGGAGAGATGGCTTAGTGGTTAAGAGCATTGGCTGCTCTTCCAGGTTCAATTCCCAGCACCCACATGACAGTGCACAACTGTCTGTAACTCCAGTTCCAGGGGATTTGACACCTCTACACCAATGCATATTATGAAATAAAGTTAAGTTTTAAAAAAATGAAAAAAAGTAAATGCTGCTGGATTAATCCAACTTGTATATTTTGACAATGCCTTGAATTCTAAATTTAAGTCTAAGGACAGGTTACTTTGGAAAAGAGATTTTTGTTTTTGTTTCCACAGAAAATGAAAAGCTGTGGATTCCTTCCAGACTAATATGTTTTGATCAAGCAAGACCCCCTGAAGTAGTGGCCCAGGTGATCCAACATCCAAAATAGCTAAGATGACACAGCCTCTCAGACTAGGAAGCCAGGATTTGGCCAGGTTTTTGGGTTTTCATGGGATCCTATGGTATCCTGTGCCTCCAAACAGCAGAAAGCAGTTTGGAGAGAACTATGCCCAAATTCCCAAATATTGCTTATAAATGTTTGTTTTCATTTAAACTGTGTTGATTATAAATGGTTAATGATCACAGTCAATCTCCTTCTAAAGAAAAAAAAGGGGAATATGATATAGAAATGAATACTCTATAATGGTATGGGTTTTGATTTATTGATACAAATTTAATGTCAATTTTGTTATATGTATATTTCTCCTCTTGTTTAGGTATTGTGTTTATACAACTCTTTTAAAATATAAAGTATAATTAAATTCAGATTATAGTCACCTACAATAATCAAAACTTATAGTTATGCTATTTAGATTTTCTAAACATACAGAGATATATTTCAAATGGATAGATATTCTTCAAACCTTTCAATGACCTACAGAATATGGCATTTAGAATGGTTTAGGGTTTTCATGAAAGTGACTACAACTGCTCCTGGCAACACCAATTACTTCAGAGAGGAAGATGGGCATTGAAGAAACTCGATATGGAGTTTGCTTTCAATATGGTGAGACTAGCCATTTGGGTAAGAAACTGCTCTTGTCTGGACTGTTTGACTGTATAAACTGGACATTCAGGACCCATAGGAAAGTGACTGCTGAACAGTCCTACAGGGTTCCTGCTTCATGGAAAAGTCTGCCAGACATTCTTCAAGACACATAGAAAAATGACTGACAAACTGCCAATACAGGTGGACAGTTTAAAATTTCCTGCTTCACTGAGAAGTCTGCCAGACATACTATGGCCTATGGGATGAAAATGGATGCTCCAACATTACAGAAGAACTTTTGGCAACTGTCAAGGCAGCAAGATGTCTCTGTCAATTCTAGAGTTTATATATTATTCTTCTGAGATCTTTGATGGAGTTGAAGACAGATAGTTATGGTTTTCTTTAGTTATGATAAAAAATAAGTTACACATAAAACTGTAGACTCACAAAGATAGGATAGATGATAAATTTTGCTAAATGTTAATAGACTATATATTGTTAATTATAGTTCTTGCTTGATAACCATTTTGTTATATATAATTTTACTATGTTAAAGTTAAAACGCTTCTTTTTATTTAGACAGAAAAGAAGAGATGATGGGAGATGTCTCTTATTGGTTGATGAATAAAGCACTGATTGGCCAGTAGCCAGGTAGAAGTATAGGCGAGGCTATGAGACAGGGAGAATTCTGGTGAGAGGAGGTGGAAAGAGGCCGCCAGAAAGAGACGCCATGTAGAGACTGGGAAGATAGGATGTGCCATGCGTTCTCTGGTAAGAAAGGGCCATGTAGAAATACATAGATTAGTAGTTATGGGTTAATAATTAAGAGAGAGCTAGCCAGTAAGAAGCCCTAGCCATCAACCAATGGTTTTATAAATTAATATGTCTTTGTGTATTTATTTGGGGCTAATCGGCTGTGGAACCAGGCAGAACAGATACCACCATCTACACTACCTGGCTAAATAAATAAATTTAACACAACAACAAAACAATACTCTAGCCTTGGCATTGACTAGCTGCAATTTACAGGCCAGTGCTGCCAAGTCTGGGGTGCCTTTTTTTGTTGTTTTTGAGTCAGGCTCTTACTGTGTAGCTCAGGCTGACCTTGAACTCTGGCCTCAACCTCTTGAGTGCCTGGGATTTCATCACTGAATCTGATTGGAGGGAATTCTTGAAGAACACTGGACTCTAACAGTCCCACCTCCCCACCTTTGGAAGAACCCAGTTACTTCTTGTGTAGTCCATGGCTGTGATCCAGGTGGGGACACCAGAGACCAAGCTGGCCGGAAAAGTGCAGGGTCTGTGGGTTTTTGTTCAGGAAGATGACATATGAGAGAACTGGAGATGCCAGTCTGGAAGTGAGAGGGCCCATTTTGCTCCCCGGAATCCCCATGCTCTCCCACCTCCACTGTCACAGATGTGGCTCCTCCCACAGAAATGCAAGCTCTGTGAGGGGCAGGATCCATGTCCACTTCACTCTGTCACTTGGTACATAGCTGACCAGCAGCAAATCTTTGAACAAAATCTATAAAAGGTGAAAACAGCTGTAAATAGAGAGGGGCCTCTTGTATTGCCTCCATTATTTTCTTGCCAGCAACCCTGCCTAGGGTCTTCTACCCAATGTGTGGTTGAGCAAAGAACCCCCAAAAAGTAAACAATAGTGCTGAGGTCTGTGTCTTTGAGGTTGCTGAACAGGCAGGTGGATGTCTGGAGCTGGCCATCCCTCAGATAGGTCCCACTCTCCCACTCACCGGCTGTGGCCTTGGGTGCTTCTTTTTTGGCCTCCTGCCTGGCTGCTTTGTAGTAGGTGAAGCTTTGGACCACAGCCTGCTGCTGTGCCAGGGCATGTGGCCTGGCTGTGGGGTGGGGTATTCTGGCCTTGATGCTCTCCTTCCTCAGCTTCTCCACCTTCAGCAGCTTCTCCTTGGGAGGCTTTGCAAGGCCCTTGTCTGAGAAGCTCTTCTGGATACTGCCATACTTGTTGAGGTCTTTGCCTTGCCTTCCAGCAGTGTCCTGGAAAAAGCAGAAGTCTCAGACTTGGGTGACAGTAAACATAGCAGCTCAGTGTGTGTGAGCTGGAGAGGGGTCAGTGTCTGTGAAGTTCCACGGTGGATAATTTGTCTGCCTGTTTCTCCTCTGCAGTCTTGAGATCCCATCTGGAGGGTTACATGCTCACTCCCAACTCCTGTCCACTGGTTCTCTTGGTTTGACTGACAGGCTGGCTCCTGAGGAGACCTCCTAGCCTTGTCTCTCACTTATTGACCTTAGTGTATAGGAAAGGGGAAGTTCTTGGGTCCCTTTACAGAGTACCCAGAATGCTCCCCATGTTTGCCTTGAAATCCTAGCATCCCGAGAAGTCTTCCTGTCCCATGTTGGTCTGGCTAGCCCTAGGGAATGCTGTGTCTAACATTTGTGAGCCTTGTTATTTTCACTTCCTACTCAAATGCTCTGAGGCTGGCTTGGCACAAGAACACAGGACATGGGGCGCCACCCATTGTGAGACAGACAGATAAGGCTTGTACAGTATCTGCCGCCTTCTGAGCAGGGGCCAAAGTGGGGCTCGCTTGCACTTGCAGAACAGACATCTCACTGAGCAGGCAGCCAGCTACAGGCCAAGGCACAGGCTTCCTCACGCTTTATTATGTCTAGGCAGTCCCACTTGCAGTCACCAAAGGTGCCACTATCACATTGTCAGCACAGGAGGTTGCAAATTGAGGAGGAAGGGCTGGGGCTTGGCAGTCACAGAGGCTGGCTGCAGCTCTGGCTAAGCTGCCCCTTCTCCCTGTGACCTCTTCATGTTTCTTCATGTGCCAAGTAGGCAGGAGGTCAATTCTACTCGCAGGTTGTGGAATGAACTAAGATGGTATGTGAGAAAGTAAGGTTCAGAGGACTCCTAAAAATATCACCAGAAAATGAGGCTACTGGATTGTGTCCTGCCCATGGCCATGGATGACTGATCTGAGGGACATCAAAGGGTGGCTACTTGTTGCACTCCTGGCCAAGTGACACACTCTGAATGCCACAAGAAAGGATACTTATTCCTGACTTATCTGGCAACTAGGAGGTCAATTTTTCTGCCTGAAGGAGTGGGCTGGCTTTCTTTCTTCCTTTCTTTCTTTCTTTTGACAGCTTGACACAAGCTAGGCTGACCTGGAAAAAGATAACCTCAATTGGGAAAATGCCTCCACCAATCAGCTTGTAGGCAAGTCTATGGGCATTTTCCTGATTATTGATAACTTGATGATCCCAGACTACTGTGGGTGGTACTACCCCTAAGCAAGTGGTCCTGGGTTATATGAGAAAGCAGGCTGAGGAGGCCCATAAGCAGTGTTCCTTCATGGCCTCTGCTTCAGGTCTTTCGTTGAGTTCCTGCCCTAACTTTCCTCAGTGATGGAGTTGTGACCTTACAGTTGTAGGCAGAAATAAACCTTTTCCTCCCAACATTGCTTTTGGCCGTGGTCTTTATCACAGCACTACTTATTTATTTTTTTGTTTTGGTTTTTTGAGACAGGGTTTCTCTGTATTGTTTTGGAGCCTGTCCTAGAACTCGCTCTGTAGACCAGGCTGGCCTTGAACTCACAGAGATCTGCCTGCCTCTGCCTCCTGAGTGCTGGGATTAAAGGCATGTGCCACCAACGCCCGGCTCTACTTCTGAAGGCAAATTAGAACAAGAAGATATGCTAGAACAAGGGACTTTAAGTCTGTGTGAAGACATGCTATCTGCTATGGGTGGAATGGTATTAGTCTTCAGGGGTCCCTGAGGCACTGCCCCCACCTACTCTATACTCACCCAGGGTCCTAGCTCCAGCAGGAGAAGCTAGAAGCAATACCCCTAGGGCCAGAGGGAGGTTTCCACAACCTCATTTCCAGGACTTTGGCAAATGGAGATAAGAATGAATACCCAGTTTAGGGGCCAGTCATCCCCCTGGACTGTGCTTACCTGTGCAAGTCACAAAGTGGAAATACGCACTCCCCAGTTCTTGCTGTGCTTTCTGTTAGCTTGCTCTCAAGGCTCCAAACACATACAAGTCTGTGTTTGGAGGCTCAAGCCCAGCCACCTTCTGTCCCCGTGATGAGAGTGAAGGTCTCACCTGAGCCTTGCTGTCAGGGCTTGAGTCTGGGGCAGTGGCAGGGACAGCAGCCGCATCCCTCTGCAGCAGCTGGAGGCCCAGACTGGACAGTTCCTTCTTAATGCTCATCATGATGGCTGACTGGTTCTCATATCTCTTCAGCTGCTCACCAAGGTGACGTATGCTGTCTTTCACCACCTCGTTCTCCTGGCTCAGGTTGGCCTTGATGTTCTGTGGGGCAGGGTTCATGGTCATTCCTAGCCCTGCTTCTGAGCTGCCACCCTAGATGGTCACACCAACTTGGCCATCAAGACTTGAGGGACATAGATAAAACTGGGACTAGTGAACAGAGTGGAAGAAAAGTATGTCCTATAAGACTCAGTGATTAATGATTTTTATTCTCAGGAACAAATGAATGAAAATAGGTAATATATATTTATATTAATAAATGAAAAAGATGTGAGTAGACCAGGTATGGTAGCATATGCCTTGAATCCCAGTACTAGAGAGGCAGAGGCGGGTGGATCTCTCTGAGTTTGAGGCCAGCCTGGTCTACATAGGCAGTTGCAGAACATCCAAGGACACATAGTGAGACCCTCTCAAATAAATAAATAGAAATAAATAAATAAATCCCTCTCGCTTTTATTTTTTCAGTGATGACAAAATGTTACATGTTTTTACGATAGGGACAAATATATACATATATATTTGCACATTTTTTCAACACTTGGATTTTTCATTTAACTGCTTATTTTGGAAATAGCTCCATATCTTTTTTTTGTTTGTTTATTTTTTTTTTCCGAGATAGGGTTTCTCTGTGGCTTTGGAGGCTGTCCTGGAACTAGCTCTTGTAGACCAGGCTGGTCTCAAACTCACAGAGATCCGCCTGCCTCTGCCTCCCGAGTGCTGGGATTAAAGGCATGCGCCACCAACGCGCCCGCTAGCTCCATATCTTTCTACAAAGCATTCCCCACTCCTTTTCATGGATGCATAGTATGCCACTGTATGCTTAGGCCATAATTTAGTCTAAGGATGGTCTCTGAAAGTCTCCAATAGTCTGTTAATTTAAAATTATTTTTTCAGAGCTGGGTGTGGTAGTGCTTGCCTGTGATCCCAGCACTCAAACCAAATTTGCAAAAGAGACAATCGGCAGACTCAGAGCTATGGGGAACCAGCTTGCATTTCCAGACAGAATAAGAGGAAAGGTCAGTGGAGGATGGCCTCAGAGTCTGCAGTATGAGAGTATGTATAGTAATACTGTACCCAGGGAAGATTCTCATGTTAGTTTTCCAAGCTGGCCTGAGATCAGCTAGGAGGAGATGATCCACTAGGTTTCAGATAATCTAAGTCACTGTGACACCACCCCACCCCCACCCCCTGCCCATCCCAGTTTGGGATTTAGTCTTTCCTCCCATGGCACAGGATGCCCAGCCACCTCCTCCCTCTGGAAAGGAAGCAGGGAAAGGAAGTCCCCACGCCTGCTCCTGCATGTCCCTAGACCCCTGGCGCTCAGCAGAGGCCGGATGCAGGAAATGGGTGGAGACCAGGCAATGCCAGGGAGAGGCAAGTCCTGAACCTTCAGCCTGGACCTCTCCAGGCTTGGCTGTTCTTGTACCCAGAGGGTAGTCCTATAGAATACATAGCCTGTCCAGTCTGCTCTGTAATGCCTTTGCTTCCATACAGGTAGTACTGGTATTATCAAACCCAGGAAGGTTTTATCAGTTCTACTACGTTGTACCAATCCAGAGGCACCACTGACATGGTACTTCTCTGTGAATGGTACCCCAGAGTTGTGCAGTGTGGACCCTGATGTTGGCAGCACCCTATCAACACTCATTTCATACTACCAAAGAGTACCTAGTTTCTTCATCCAGGCTTTACGCTTCCTTGGATCCTTGAAACCCCCAGACCTCTACACCTCTTCCCTTTCGAACTCCCTGCTGGAGTTCTGCTTTCTGTGGCCCCCAGTGTGAAACAGAATGTCCCAGGCCCCTTTGGATACAGCCCTGGGCCACTGGCCCTGTCCTGCCCTTACCTCCTCCAGTGTGTTCATCTGGGAGGCCACCTTGTGGATGTAGGCGTGTACTTTCATCAGATCCACGCTGTACAGGGCACCCTCAAGGAGATCCACCATAGACTGCAACTGAAGGTGAGGGGTGGAGGAGGGAGACAGATGGTAAAGCAACGATATAAACATATAGGCCAGAGGGCACAAAAGGAGCTCCAATGCCTCAAGAAGCCCAGAATCCTAGAGTCTCACAGTGGCTTGGGCTCTAGCCTGCTCATAATCACAGGACAAGGAACAGGTAAGATTTTATTAATGCATTTTACAAATAAGCATATTTGTTTTTTCAGTTTTGAAGTTCTGGGGATATATATGAAGGCCTTCTACATACTTGTCAAATACTCCACCACTGGATCACATCCCAGCAAGTGGGGGATATATGTGGGTGATATATATCTCCGGTTTCTATGTGATGGGACCATTCAAGTTCCTCTCTGATAAAGTATTTCAAAATAGACTATTAACTGTTATCACCCACAGTCACCCTTCTGTGTGATGAAACAAGAGAGCTCTTCCCCTGACCTGAACTTTGTACCTAGCAATCATTCTGTCTGTGTAAGCCTCTTTTTTGAGTGACAAAGTGGCCAAACTCCAAAGATACAGTCTGGATGTTTCCCCAGAGGCAGCCCTGAGGTATGACCAATAGTTGTAGTGTACTGAGGAGCCAAGCTGCAGCTGTCCCTTGGCTTGGGGACACATCCTTACCTGGGAGGTCTCCTTTATGAACTTTTGCTATAGTGTCTCTGGGGCATGCTTTTATAACAGACTTTTAGGAATCACAGGCCAAGAGGCCTGCTTGCTTCAATTGATTAACCTAACCCAAAGTATGAACCTTTTTACTTTTTAATTTGTTTTTACTTTGTGAGTATGGGTGTTTTGCCTGCATGCATGTCTGTTCACCACGTGGGTGATGTGGAGGCTAGAAGAGGCCATTGGATCCCCTGAAATTAGAGTCACAGATGTTTGTGAGCTGCCATGTGGGTTCTGGGAATCCTTTGCAAGAGTAGCCAGTGCTCTCAACCGAGGTACCATCCCTCCTCCTACCCTAGTAGATTAGTATTGTTTGAACTGAGCATTCACTGGCAGAGCTGTCGGGAAAAGACATGTTGGGCAGAGGAGTAGCCTGCACTCAGAGCTGGGGTGAGTGAGATGGGAGCAAACTACTCATGGTACCTGTGGTAAAAGTCAGTACAGAGCAGGAGAACAGATTTTGGTTTTCTATGATGTTTTGTAGCCACTTGGCAGAGCAATTTTATTTGTGTTGACTCCCATAAGATATTATACTTAAACTTTGGCATGCCTGCTTTCTCTTCTTTCTTTCATTTATTTATGTATTTATTTGGTTTTTCGAGACAGGGTTTCTCTGTGTAGCTTTGGAGCCTATCCTGGCACTTGCTCTGAAGACCAGGCTGGCCTCGAACACACAGAGATCCGCCTGCCTCTGCCTCCTGAGTGCTGGGATTAAAGGCATGTGCCACCACCGGCTTTCTTTCCCATATTTATGATTTAATAAAGCTTGCCTGAGGATTCAGAAAAAACAAAAAGAAAAAGAAAAAAATTTAGTATTGGGGAAGGGTTTTATTTTTGTTTTTTTCAGGAGACTAAGGAATCCAGAATCCAGAATCCAGAATCGACTGGACAATTGAGACACCTAAAGAAAAGGAACAAATAATACAGAGAAATTGTTCCAAGGAAAGGAGTAAATTGGTCTATTGGTATACCATATTTCCAACAGGATAAAACTTCATAAATCTTCCCAAATGTTTGTGTTTGCTTTTCTCTACAGACATAATGCAAATTGGTCTTTTTGTAGTCCAATTAAAGATTAAAGCTGGCTTTGGAGTTAGAGTGTGGCTCTCTCTCCTTCTCTAAACCCAATCATGCCAGTTAAAGAAAAATAAAAATGTCTGTCTCATGTCAGAAAAGCCACCTGATATGGAACAGAGGAAAAACACATATTTAAGGACTATTATATTGCCGATGAAATGCCTTAAGGAAGGCACCTGTCAAAAGTCCCTATGTCAACACCATTTCATTTGTTTCCTGCCACTGTGGATGAAACTCCTTCCCAGGACAATTAAATACCCTAATACCTATTGAAAGAAAACATTGTTCTGGATGAAAGAAGAGCTTTAGAAGCTCAAATAAAAAATTTAGAAGTTGTAGACCAAAAATGATAAGGATTAGATTAGGAACCTCCCCAAAGTTAGTGTTGGGGAAGGGTTTTGTTTTTGTCTTTTCAGGAAAATAAAAACAAACATCTTGAGGAATTTAAGACATTTGGACAAATAAACTTCCAAAGATGAAGGAAGAACTACCTGGAAAAAATTACCAAGAAAAGAAATAATCTGACCTAGCCTGGTGGTGGTGGCATATGCCTTTAATTCCAGCACATGGGAGGCAGAGGCAGGCAGATCTCTGTGAGTTGGAGACCAGCCTGGTCTACAAGAGCTAGTTCCAGGACAGCCAAGGCGACACAGAGAAACCCTGTCTCAAAAAAACAAAACAAAAAAGAAGAAGAAAGAAAGAAAGAATCTGACCTAATGAGATCTCTGAAGTCTCAAAAAAGAAGATTGAATCCAAGTTGGGTGGAGGTCACACATCCCTTTAATATCACCACTCAGGAGGCAGATAGATGCATGTAGATCTCAGTGAGTTTGAAGCCCCCTGACCTACAAAAGGGAGTTTTAAAACAGCCAGGACTCTTAATATAGAGAACCCCCCTCTTTCTTGAAGAAGAGGAGGAGGAGGAAGGAAGCCCACAACAATTTCACCAGGACTATGATAACACCATTAAGCTGAACAATACCAACTAAAGATCAGCTTTGGATTACAAACTGATCAGGAAAATTTTGAGGAGGTCAGCTGAGATGATCCAGCCTCACAAACACGCTCAGAACAATTTGCAGGAGGCTGACTAGGATGATCTATCCTCACAGAATACTCTAGCTACGACTTGAGACAAGTTCTCCACTTACATAATATGCAGAGACTGGACAAAAATAAGGCAGCCTGACAGTTAACTCCAAAATTTTCTTTTAAGGTTCCCCTAAAGATGCTGTTGTCCCCAGACAGCAAGAAGTAACTTTAAGAACACAATACCCGGTTGGGTGGTGGTGGCACATGCCTTTATTCCCAGCACTTAGGAGGCAGAGGCAGGCAGATCTCTGTGAGTTGGAGGCCAGACTGGTCTACAGAGGGAGTTCCAAGACAGCCTCCAAAGCAATATAGAGAAACCCTATCTTGAAAAACCAAAACCAAAACCCAAAACCCAACGACAAAAACAAAACAAAACAAAACAAAACCCCAAATCCAACCACAACACCCACATTCCCAAGAGGTGGGGTGGGTGGTTTTTTTGTCATTCAATGGGTTATGGATATTTGTCATTGTTTAGGGAGATTGGTTACAAAATGTTGTTGCTTACGGTCAGGAAGAAAGTTTAACAAAGGGGATTAGAGTCAAGATTTTTGTTTTTTAAAAAAAAGATACAGATATAAGATAAAAAGGTAGATTATTGAATCTACTTCTAAAAAGTATAGATATGATGAGATAAAAAGGTAGAGATTATTGGATCTACTTTTCAAAGGCAGCTACTAGTTTTAAATATTTTACATTGGATTGGACTTTTGTATATTGTATGTAAATATTGTGTATTGATACAAATTTGAGATTAATTAAAACATTGTACATGTTTCTAATCTGGTTCAAGGTATTGTACCTATACAACTCATTTGGCAATGTAATGCAAATTTCTAGTTCTTTTTTGTTCTGTTTTGTTTTTGAGACAGGGTTTCTCTGTATTGCTTTGGAGGTTGTCCTGGACCTCGCTCTGTAGACCAGACTGGTCTTGATCTCACCGAGATCCATCTGCCTCTGCCTCCCCAGTGCTGGGACTAAAGGCCCGTGTCATCACCACCTAGCGGGTTTCTACTTCTTGAAAGTTTTTTTTTTTTTTGTTTAGTCTTCTGCCTGCATGCCAGCAGAGGGCACCAGATCTCATTCAAGGTGGTTGTGAGCCACCATGTGGTTGCTGGGAACTGAACACTGAACTCAGGACCTCTGGAAGAACAGTCAGTTCTCTTAACCACTGAGCCATCTCTCCAGCTCCCTTGAAAGTTATTATTACCAACTATATATAAGATAATAAGGAAATGTGAGTAATCACATGTTTTCAAAAACAGAGATATAAAGACAGATTGTCAGCCGGGGTGTTCTAGTTCTCTGAAGTCAGGGTTCCTCTATCCCATACCTTACTGAATATCATACTGAATCAGTATGCTGGAACACATCAAACCAGCGGGAGAGAATGGAGATTAGCTGGGAATCATGACGTTCTTTGTCTGTGACCCAGGATGCTGCTGTCTGTGATTTCCACTGGCATCCAGGCTATGTCACCTTGCAAACTTATATAACAAGTAGGGTACCACCTCAGACCATTCATGGTTTCTGACACCAAACAGGCCAATGAGATGCATGTCTGGAAGAGACTTTAAGAGAAAGACGTACAAAGATACCAAGAAGTGGGTAGAGATATGGCTCAGCAGCTAAGACCTCTGCTATTCACCAGACATTGGTGGCGCACGCCTTTAATCCCAGCACTCGGGAGGCAGAGGCAGGCAGATCTCTGTGAGTTCCAGGCCAGCCTGGTCTCCAGAGCAAGTGCCAGAATAGGCTCCAAAGCGACACAGAGAAACCCTGTCAAAAAAAAAAAAAAAAAAAAGACCTCTGCTATTCTTGCAGAGGACCTGGGTTCAGCTCTCAACACCTGTAACTCCAGTTCCAGGGTATTTCCAGGGTATCTGATGCCTTCTTCCGGCCTTCATGGGCAGCAGACACTTATATACATGTAGGCAAAACACTCATATACATTATAAGATAAAAAGTAAAGTAATTTTATAAGTTAGGAAACAAACTTGCCCTTTATAAGATCCTTTAGAGAGAGGCAGAGGAGGAGATGATTTAAACACAAGACCTGGGTTCAAATCCCAGCCCTACCAGACCCACTAAGTGCGGGCATGGCACTACCCATATGTAATGTCAGTACTTGGTATAGAGGAGGATCAGAAATTCAAGGTCATATTGGGCTACATGGGAAGTTTGAGGCAAGCCTGGAATACACGAACCTCTATCAGTTAAAATAAACAAAAATAAGCCTGGTATGATGGCATATGCCTATAATCCCAGAAATTGGGCAGCATAGGCAGGTGGACTGCTTCAAATAGCATAGGCTGGCTATCCTGGTATATATAGTGAATTTTAGGATAATATGGATAACAGAGTATCACCTTGTCTCAAAAAGCAAGATGGAACAAACAAAACAATAAGCTGCCCCAGCATTTGTAACACAGCTAGGAAAAGGTAAATGTTTTTTTTAGGTGATACCCAGGACAGTGAGTAATTCAAGCGGCCCCACTGACTTTAGCTGGCTTCACTCAGGAAGCCTCAGTTTTCTGACCTGTATTACTGACATCATGGGAGAGCCAAGCCAATCCCCTTACTGTCTCAGCCTACCTTGAAGAGCTCAGGTGCCTGCTTCTTGAGTTTCTCCATCTTCCACTCATTCTCACAGGGGTTGAGTGAGGAAGGCGGAGCAGTGCAGGAGCAGCGGCAGTCAGTCCCTGAACTTAACGTCTCCACAGTGTAGAAGTCCTCTATCTGTCCACGCCCACTTCGTACCCGGCTACATGCATCCTTGCTCAGCGGTCTCATGATGCATTTGCAGCGGCAGTCAGAGCCTTCCGAGGTCATCCGTACCTGGTCCAGGTTGCTGAATATCTGCAAAGGGTGGGCAAGAGTGGTTCCATTTGGCCAGTACTGAGGGGACAGGATGTGGGGGATGGGAGGGTGTAGCAGAATCTAGCCTGCTGGTCTTTGGGTGGCACTTAGAGGTAGCAGAGAAGTAACAGGGACTAAGCAACAGTATTGCAATTATAATTCAAATGTTAATGCCCAGCTGTGGAAAAGTTCAAAAAAGAGAACTGTCAGTGGGGCATGGTGGTGCACTCTTTTAATACCAGCACAGGGGAGGCAGAGGCAGACAGAGCTCTGTGAATTCGAGACGAGTCTGTTCTACAAAGTAAGTTCTAGAACAGCCAGGGTTACACAGAGAAACCCAGTCAAAAAAAAAAAAAAAGAAAGAAAGGAAGGAAGGAAGGAAGGAAGGAAGGAAGGAAGGAAGGAAGGAAGGAAGGAAGAACATAAGGCCTGGATCCTGGGTGAGAAGGCAGCAGGCAGCATACTTTCTGTTTCTGTAATCTTCCTGCTTCTGGAAAAGTGGGCTTCTGACTCAGGGGCTAGTGAAGATTCAATGAAATATAGAAAAAACAAGCCGGGCGTTGGTGGCACAGGTCTTTAATTCCAGCACTTGGGAGGCAGAGGCTGGCGGATCTCTGTGAGTTCGAAGCCAGCCTGGTCTACAGAGCGAGTTCCAGGACAGGCTCCAAAGCAATACAGAGAAACCCTGTCTTGAAAAATAAACAAAACAAAACAGAGTAGATCCAATAATCCACCCTTTTAATCCTATCATATCTATATTCTTTTTTTTTTCAAAATAAAAACCTTGAATTTAATCCCATTTGTTCAACTTTCTTCCTGACTATGACCAACAACATTGTGTAACCAATCTTTAGTTGGAGTTGTTCAGCTCCATAGTGTTGTCATAGTCCTAGTGAAATTGTTGTGGGGGCACCATCCTCCTTTTGGAGACTTCAAAGGTCACTATTAGGCATGGTCATGGTTCACAGTTAGAGATAGAGGCTCAAACCAGAATCATGTACAGGAAGGTAGATGAATCCTTTTTCTAGAATTGGTTAGTATTCTATATGACCATCAATATCATGACAAAAATTATGAGATTAGTAGCAATACAATAGTCCAAAATATTTGTTTTTCTTCTGTTCCAGTCTCAGCAAGGAATGCGGACTCAAGGCCCTCTTTTTCTAGGTGACTTCTACAGATCTGATTTCCTATGCCCTGGGTAGAGGTGCCCTTTAACAGGTTCTAACCCCATTTCTTCAATGGTACAATGGCAGAATGGAGGACTTGCAAAAACCAGCCTTCTCAAAGAGAAGATCACATGAGACAACATGACCTTAAGCCAGTGGTTTCCTTCTCCTCCCCCTCCTCCTTCAACACTCCATGACCAGATGTGGTCACTTGTTTCTGGGATATCACCAGCTCTGTGTTCTCAGATATCAACTCAGTGAGATGCAAGGCAGGTTCCTTGCATAGATACACCTGGTTTGCACATTGGGTTCCAGATGCTTAGTGTACAGCTAGTCCCAGCCCAGTCCACAAAAACTCACCCTAGGCCTACAGATGATCAGCTAATCACTGGATAAGAAAACATAAGGACACAGGTGAGCTCATGGCACCCTGGGCCTCTGCCAAGCCCCAAGGCCCTAAGAAAAGGGATTTAGATTTCCACTTCCTCTCTAGACCCTCAGATATCTGTTTGAACCCCCGGCTTCTGCCAGGGCCTGAGTGGGTGACAGCTAGAGGTGTGGGAGAAATAGATCAGGGAACATTCTTTATTTTTTGTGTGTGTTTTTTTTGTTTTCTGGGTTTTGGTTTTTGAGACAGGATTTCTCTGTGTAGCCCTGGCTATTCTGGAACTCGCTTTGTAGACCAGGCTGGCCTCAAACTCAGAGACCCACCTGCCTCTGTCTCCTGAGTGCTGGTACTAAGACATGCCTCACCACCACCCAGTGAACACAAAGACTGCTGAATGTGGCCAGGAGAAGGGTACCTTTGTGGAGAGGGCATTGATGGGAAGCAAATTAGACAGGCAAAACAAGGGTGAATCTTGCTTTACAGGAGGCCTGGGGGAGGTGGGAAGGTTACTCTGACTGGTGCTTTCAGGGGTGCAGGGTGGCAGGAGGTGAGGCTACGGACATGGCAGAGTCCAGTCTTGGAGGGTCCTAGGGTTGGCTGAGGATCTTGGCTTTCTGCTTGAATAAGAAATGTTCCCCAAGATTTTTGAGCTAAAAGCTCAGTTGCCTGCTGCTGGGCCACAGAGATGGAACCACAAAGGCTCTGAGCTCATCTTCGGCTTAATTCACTGATGGATTCATAATTGGATGGCATTTTTTGGGAGGTATGCAACCCTAGAGGGGACTTAGTTGGGGGGAAGTAGGTCACTGAGGGTGTGCCCCTGAAGAGTGGATCTCATCCTCAGCCCATCCTTCTGCCTTCCTTTTCCTCCCAACTTTCATTTTTTTCACTGCAACCTGCAACCTCCATAGCTTCAGAAGTAACACAGGAAGTCCATACAGCCTGGGCCTCACCCCCTCAAGTGTGCAATTTTTGTTTTGTCAAGACAAGGTTTCGCTCCAGGCGGTGGTGGCACACACCTTTAGTCCCAGCACCTGGGAAGCAGAGGCAGGCAGAGTTCTGTGAGTTGGAGACCAGCCTGGTCTACAAGAGCGAGTTTCAGGACAGGCTCCAAAGCCACAGAGAAACCCTGTCTTGAACCCCCCCACACACAAACACACAAAAAGACAAGGTTTCTCTGTGTAGCCTTGGCTGTACTGGAACTCACTTTGTAGACTAGGCTGGCCTCAAACTCACAAGAGGCCTGCCTCTGTCTCCTGAGTGCTGGGATTAAAGGTGTGCCTCCCATCCCATCCCAGCTCAATGTACTGTTTGATAGCAGGGAGACTACAGTGCAGGGCTAACCAGGCTAGCTGACACCTATGGACACAGATCCCTGCTGCTTGTCCCACCAAGAACACAGGTGGGCTGAGAGGTGGAGTGCCAGTCCCACACTCAGACAGGGCAGGAATATGCTGAGCTGTAGGCTATCTTTTTCTGTGTGGGTGCACTGGTCTACTCTTCTATTGGTAGCAACATCTACAGATGAGGAAATAGCCCCTAAGCCAGTTTGGAGAAGATGAGCCTGGGCAGTGTAGATTTCCTATTTTATTTATTTATTTTTCTGTAGCTGTGCAGGAAGGAGCCAGGGAACAGTGGGCAGAGAGGAGAGTTAGACAGGAGGCTGTGGTCCTGCTCTCTGTCCTGGTCTTTTGTGGGTGGAGTGCACTCTGGGTGCTGCAGGCTAATGTTCCCCTGCTTTTGAACAGCCAGACTCACCAGAACCCCACAAGAGAGGAACTCAAGTCCTCTCTCAGCTCTGCCAAAACTCCATGACACTGTATTACTTCCCAATCAGGGTCAAAAGCCCAGCAGGTAGGTAGGTAGGTAGGTGTGTGTGTGTGTGTGTGTGTGTGTGTGTGTGTGTGGGTGGGTGGGTCCACTGTGGGCTTCCCCATCTATTGAATCTAACCACACCCATCTAGCAGCTGCTTCCACATTATACTGCTACATTCCTTCCTCCTCAGATGATGTGCTATGTGCCAAACACATAGGCTCTCTCACACTACTAGGAGCTAGAAGAAGACCTCTGATCCCAGATCCAGTTGCTGGGAATGCAGCACGGTCCTTCCTCCAGTGGGGGTAAAGCTAGAGACAGCCAAGCACTATGGTGAAAAGCTATAGATAGTCTTGGCACTTATACCTCCTTCCTTCATGGTCTTGTCCCTTTGGAACTTGAGCTTCCTCTTCTGTAAAATGGGGTGGCTATCAATCCCTTCTTGTGCTTGTCATGAATCTGCAGTCAGCATATGGGGAGCACCTGCCACAGTTCTGGCCCAGATTGCTAATTTAAGCAATCTGTGCTATATATGCTGCTTCTGGAAGCCCTCCCTTGTATCACCTCCATGTTTTCCATCTCTCTTTGCCCTTACCACACCCTCTATGGTACATTAGGGAAGGTTAGAAGCTTGTCCACACAGCCTGATTCCAAAATTTTGTTTACATAGTGCTCTTCCTCTGAACACCTGTGATCACCACACCAAGACTTCTACCCAAGCAACTGAGCTGGGACCCACAGGTCTGCACAGAAGGAGGTCATAGGATCTGGGGCTACCTCCTGGGTCTGTTCCTTGGCATGAAGGCTGAAAGTTGCTTTCAAATAGGAAAGTCCCTGCCTCAGCCCCCATCTTTCCTTGAAGCTGTGCACAGCACACATCTCTGCCAAAGCTCCCAAATGTGTCAGTGGTGGTGGTTAGTGCTTAGAAGGCCTCTGGGTATTTGCAAGGAAAGCTCACAGTGAGATGGCTAGAGGGTAGGTAGCTTGAGTTGTTTTTGGAGAGAGCCAGATAAAGAGAGTAGCTGGAATAAGAGTGTGTTCTTGTAATGGCTGGGCAGGCTCATATGTGGTTGTCTTGAGGTTGGTGCTGCTTTCTTCTTCATGGCTATCCCATCTCATCTCAGGCAGTTTTCCCGAAAAGCCCTCAATTGAAGTCCACTGTCATCTGGACACCTCTTTCTGGAGGCCCCAAATTCAATCCAGGTAAGCTCTATGCAGCATCTCTTCCACCCTAAGTCTACCTTCCCTCCTGCCCATACAATGTCTCTTCACCTCCTTTGTACCCTGGACAACTTATTAGTAATGGTTTCCTGAGGGTTACCCTAAATATTTCCCACCTTTGTACCTTGCTACCAACTCCAGGACCATAGCCCAATGTCAGGATGCATTCCTTTCCGCTGGATTAATCTTTCAAAATCACTTTCTTTGATGATCTGTTACTCTCGGGCTCCACAGATCTTAGTTCCATACTGCCCCCATAAGTTCTGTGCCGCAAAGGGGACCATGTCTCAGAAGTACCTGGGGTTACACTTGAAAATGCAGATACCTCAGTGTCCCAGAGTGATTATATTATTACTATATTATTATTATTTTATTGTTTCTTTGAGAGACAGGGTTTCTCTGTGTAGCCATGGCTGTCCTGGAACTATCTCTATAGACTAGGCTGGTCTCAAACTCATAGATATCTACCTCCTGAGCATTGTGATTAAAGGTGTTCTCCACCACCACCCAGCCACAGTGTGATTCTTTAGGGTGTTCAAATCTGTTCCCTGGGGAGGGACCACTAAGCCTTGGCAGCGTTGATAGTACATGATGCTGAATGTAAAATGCTGGGCATGGACCTTGGTCCTGGTATTCTATGTTCTCAAAGGAGTGTTTAGGCAGGTCCATTTCTTACAGAGAGATGGTCAGGTGTGGCTTGGCCTGACACTGTACCAGAAAGATGACTCCATTACCCTGTCATTCTGCTTGTTCAGCTCAGGGGCCTGCTTCCAATTACTCCACATACAGAAACTCCAGGAATCAATGTGGAACAACACCTAAGCCCTTGGGACTGGCCTGCCTGGAACATCTGACCTGGCCCAGGAAACTATGGCCTGCTGGGCTCACTGTGGTCTGGTCCCTTGCTCTAGCTCCCACAGGCATCAGTCTTCTCTCTTTGCTCAAGTCCCTTTCCACCCCTGCATGTAAGTAGAGTGAGGTCCCAGTGGCTCTTTGTCTGCTGCCATGCCTGGGTGTCATGGGGCACTACCTGCCTGTCCACCCCAACTTCAAAGCTGGGCAGCCATGCAGAAATAGCAAGGCAGTTGAGTTTCCCCTCTCACTTCAGTCCAGACAAAGCACTTCCTTAGATGGAAAACTCCAAATCCTGTTTAGGAAAGCCTCATTATAAACATCAATTTAAAATGCAAGGAAACCAACAGAGTACCAGGGTGAGTATAATGGGCAGGAGCCTGCCAGAAAGAGAAAGCCTGTAGAGGAGCAAACATAAAGCTCTAGAATCCTCAATTCACTTCGAGTACAAAGGTGGTCCTCTAAGCCCCCCATCTTACCCTAACAAAAACAGGCCAGGTTTGGAGGGGAAGAAGTTGGGTTATTACTGTGGAGAGAGAGGGTGATAATGAAAACAGCTCTGCAGAGCCAGCAGGAGTCTGGCTGAGCAGGAATGCATAGTAAATTCACCCATCACCTGATTTTTATTTTTCTCAGCTGGCTCAAGTGGAGAAGGGATGGGAAGTGTCTAGGGGAGGGTTATGCTGGGTCCCCAGCTGCTTTATCCTTCCTACTCCACCAGCTCCAGCTTGTCTTGGACCAAGTAAATATGCCCCCTTCCCAACCTAGCAAGTGTTTGGCTGACTCACTATATAAACAGGGTGTTGGGTTTTCTTTGTCTTGGCTTTGTTTTGGATGTAAGCCCTCCTCCTCTATAGCCCTTTGCAAAGCTCACAGATGCTCAAGTCCAAAAGTCCTTCCCAGCCACAGAGGACAGACAGTCAGGGGGTGAGAGAGTGTTGAGCAGGTCATCTGGGATTTTGTTCACTAAGCCAGAGGGGACTGAGGCCCAGAGACACGCAGTCATATTTCCAAGTTTGCACAGGAAAAGAATAGTTTTTATGATAGGGGATGTCCTGTATGTATGTTTCTCTTATTGGCTGATGAATAAAACACTGATTGGACAGTAGCTAGGCAGGAAGTATAGGAGAGTTCTGGGGAAGAGGAAAGAGAGACAGAAGCCGAGAGGGAGATGCCATATATATCTTGAGGGAGCAAGAGGCCTGGGCATTCTCCGGTTAAGATAAGAACACATAGAAATACTTAGATTAATAAAAATGGGTTAATAATTAAGAGAGAGCTAGCCAATAAGAAGCCTGAGCCATCAGCTACACAGTTTATAATTAATATCAGCTACACAGTTTATAATTAATCCAGGGTCACTGTGTTTATTTGGGACTAAATGCCTTTGGGACTAGGCGGAAAAGAAACTCAGACTACACTTTTACCCTTTGCCTGCTTACAGGCAGGCTCAGATTCTACTAGGAAAAAAAATGGAGTGATATCAAAAGAAGTCACTGAAGCCCTTATTCTCTGTGAGCATTTCCCTCTAGGCTAGTGACCCCCTAACCAAAAAATCATTTCATTGCTACTTCATAACTATTATGAATTGTAAATGTATGAAATGGTCATTCAACCTCACAATGTTCAAGATCCACAGGCTGCCTGGTGGCGCATGCCTTTAATCCCTCGAGAGGCAGAGGCAAGCAGATCTCTGTGAGTTCAAGGCCAGCCTGATCTACAGATCTTGTTCCAGGACAGGGTCCAAAACAATACAGAGAAACCCTGTCTCGGAAAACCAAAATAAATAAATAAATAAAAATAAAATAAAATAAAAATCAATTCCCATAGGTTGAAAAATGCTGCTCTAGGCTCATCTTCATCAGGTCATTTCTAGATTACCCTTATGGGGCTCTTGGTCTGTCTCAGATACTTGTTCCCTCTATGTTCTGGATCTAATACCTGGTTTTGGGATTCTTGAGGTAGCATAGTGTCATCTATTGGGCACCTACTAGGTATGGTCCTAAACATTCTGCATAATCTCATTGCATCTAGAAACCACGTATAGTAGGGAATGGCAGAGGCCAGTGGATCTCTGTGAGTTCGAGGCCCGCCTGGTCTACAAGAGCTAGTTCCAGGACAGCCTCCAAAGCCACAGAGAGACCCTGTCTCGAAAGACAAAACAACAAAAAACAATACAAACAAACCCCAAAGCCCCCCAAAACTCAACCAGTTCCCTGCCCACCCGAGACCACCTGCTTGATCCTGTGTTTGAGGCCTGATCTCTGAGCATAACAGCAAGGTCCAAGTGCCCTTCCTCAGGCTCTAGGACCCAAGCGCCCTATTACTACCAGCGCTTTTTCTCGCACGTGTTCCTTCCTCAAGGCTTTTGATTCCAGCAGAGTCCAGACTGAGCCCCAAGTCTGATCTGCCTTTCCTAGTCCCCATCTCCCGGCTGAAGGCACCTTCCTTGGCGTGCACCCTTAGCCATAGCGCCCCCTCACTCGGGCTACCGCCGAGCTGCGCCAAGTTCCAGGCAGTGCGCACATACCTTACTGTCGGGCTGCACAGGACCGGCACGAAGCAAGAACAGCAGCAGCAGCAGCAGCAGCAGCAGCTTCAGCTGGGGGCACCAAGGCAGGAGGGTTGCCGCTGCCATGGTTCGACGAACACAGATGTCTCCGCGAGCACGCTGGGGAGCACCGGCAGCACAGCGAGCTTGACGCTGCAGCCCGGCTCTGCTGCTGGGGAGCCCCCAGCCCGTTGCCCCTGCAGCGCCGCTGGGGGCGGAGCTAGGATGGAGGGGGTGCCCGTCCCTCCCCTCCACGCCCATTCCCTGCGGTTCTGTGGCTTTGCGAAGTGCCTCTGAGAGAGGAGAGAGAGAGAGGAGAGAGAGAGAGAGAGAGAGAGAGAGAGTTCAGACATACACACATAGACACACACACACACACAGACATACACACATAGACACACACACACACCCACACACACACCGAGAGAGAAACAGAGACAGACACACACACACACACACACACACACACACAGGACAGAGAGAGAGAGGAGAGAGAGAGGAGAGAGAGAGAGACAGAGAGACAGAGAGACAGAGAGAGCGAGCGAGAGCGAGAGAGAGAGCGAGAGCGCCCCGGGTCCCAGGGGCACACTGAGAAACCCGGTCTCCAAAACAAAACAAAACAAAAACAAACAAAAAAACCAGGAGAAAATAAAACTAGTCAAGTAGTCTTAGTCGTTTTGGAATCGTTACAAAGTTTGAGTGGTACTTCCAATTCACTCCGTGCTCTGACGAAGCCATCTCTCCCGGACTCTGTCGGTTCTAGCTCAGCCCCTGCTCTTTCACATCTTCATCCATCTTTCTTCTTTGTTGTGCCAGTAACAACTACCTTGTAACAGCCCTCCCCTTTCCACCCTCAGCTGAGCGTCTGATTCCTCGTTTCCAGGCAGCGATTGCTCGTTCCAGGGGTCGAAGGTCAGGATATCTTCTTTCTCCATTGTTTCTTATTTTGGGGGGACAGTCTCTCACCGAACCTGGAGCGCTTTCTTTTGGTTACACTGGTTGGCCAGGGACCCTCCTGTTTCTGCCTTTCCACTTATGCTGTTACACACACCACCACCACCACCCT